CGTGAGCGTGGCGGCCTTTGCCGGGCAGTCAGCTCGGGCCTGCAGGGGTGGGGCCCCATCCTTCGAGCCCCGATCCTGCCCGTGTAGTACTGAGTCCTCACCGGGGTCTGGGAGGGGAAGGGGGGCCTGTGCTTTTGGAGCCAAAGGCTCTAGGTCAGAGCTGGGGAGGCTCGGGCTCCTCTGTCCCTGCTGGGCCTCGGGGCCACTAGAGGTCACACGTGACCAGGGCTGATCCCGGCCCTTCTCTACCGCCCTCCTGAGGACTTCCCAAGCGCTGCAGCCACGGCGGGGTTTTACGGAACATAAAGCAGACGCCAGTGTTCAAAGAACCTAAGGCAGGGGTCTGACTCCCAGAGCCGCTGTCTCCACACGGAACCGCCGGTTCCAACTGCGGGAAGGAGTTCTACGGCGGTGGGAGGGCCTCTGGTCTTAAGAGAACGTGGAGCAGCTGAGTGTCCGAAGCCCAGAACCAGTTCAGGTTAGATCCGAGGCTTCGGGTTTTAGACCAGGTTACACCACCGATGTGGTAACCACGAAACCGCCGCCGGCACTGGCCATGTGGACACGGCGCTGCTCGCCTGATCCTCACACCTTCCTAGTCCCATTGCACAGATGGAGAGACTGAGGCTGAGAGGCAGGAAACGTGCTCCAAGTCCCCCAGCCCAGAGCTCCAGGCTCACTGCACTCCTGGGGTGGACGGGCGGTGCTGGCGGGCCCACGGGGGGCTCATCCCACGGAAACCCTGCTCTCCACGGACCCTGAGTTGTCTGAGGTGCGGGGCTGACAGCGTCAGTGCTGAGAGGGGACCAGGCTGAGTGGGGAGGATGCTCAGGCACGGCCGGCCGTTACCCCGACAACAGAGAAGCTGCCCCGAGAGCCGGCGCACCGCCCGGCTGATGATGTTCTGCAAAAGCAACGCCGCGTCTTCTTTAGAACAAGCCCTGGAAAGCGAGGCGGCTCAGGTCTGGGCGAGCCCTTCCTGCAGAGATGAACGGAAAGCAGCACCCCATTCCCAGCAGGGCCTGGGGGAGCCGCACTCGGCCGGTGCGAGCGCTGAGTGGCGGGCTGAATTATCCCGTTCTGCTGGGAGTGATTAGCTTGAATGGGTTCCTGGAAGCCACAGCGTAAAGACTAGCCGTGCTGCCGTCTCTCACGGGAGTGATGCCATAATCAGGGCTGCACGGTCCCCATGTTTTACATGATGTCAACAGTAGACGCAGCCACTGGCACCCAGGCCTGAATCCCTTGAGCAAATGCTTGAGGGTCACACACCCTGAGGGGCAGGACAGGTCCGGGCTCTGATGGCAGGGGACGGAGCCCCAGTGACCAGGCAGGGGGCTCTCCCGAAGGCTGACAGGGGGAGGTCTGGCCACCAGCAGGTGGGACCTGGCAGGCCAGTGGCTGGGGATGGAGCTGGGGTTCAAGGGTGGGTTTGCAAGCCCAGAGTGGGGGCCAGGCAGAGGGGACAGGACATGGTCAGGTCCTGGCATGGGACCTCCCTGAGCCCTGCTGGCTCACCTGGCAGCTCTTGTGTCCAGCCCGGCTCCATTTGGGGGATGAGTGTGGAGTTTGGGAAGAGGGGTGGGGGGGCCTCCTCCACATGCTGAGAGGGTGCCCGTGAGCCAGGCACCAGCCATGCAGGGGCCGCCCAGGGCTCAGCGGAGAGCCCGAGATGGCACCAATCGCGCCTCTCCTTCCAGACAGCAGCCCCCCGGCGGGTCCCTGTCCCGCTGCCAATGCAGCGGAGGTGGCGGACGCTTCTCGGGGGAC